TACTAGAGCTTCGAAACTTGCAATTTTCTCCTTTTTTAAGAAAATCCGGCTCACTTTAGTCATTAACTCGTGTTTGTCAGAGGACAAACTCCCCTCTGCTTCCAAAACGACTTCTCTTTCACTCATAATGTATGTATATGAATGCCATCGTTTGTATGTAAAAGGCATTTTTGATGTACTTTTTATTGCTGCAGTGAAATGTGTATTTCTTGAATTATCCTTTTTTTTTAAGTGTATATGTGGCACAGATCCTTTTTCTGTAGTTTTAATGGTTTTTGTTGTAAGCAGAAAATCTGCCCGTCACTCTAAATCACACCTGAGTTTATTCTCTCTGCGCAAAGGACACACAAGTGCTTTCATTGTGTAACATCCTGTTTTACCCTGGAAGACGTGTATGTTTGTACAGTATGTACTGTGTATATCCCCCTCTACTGCTTGTATAGAATAGCATTTATTTTTTATACCAGCTAGATATATTATTACAGGATTCTCGCCACCGATTCGGAGCTACTCAAGAAATTTATCGACAAAACCTGCTTCAGCAAAGCGTCCTTTCCCGTCGTTGCACTTTTGACGTCACTGTGGACAGACTGGTTGCTACTCATCCTCTCCTCAGTCGATATCCAGTGTTTGTGTTTTGGACAGTGTCGTGAGCTGCCGGGGTTCAGCAGTAGTCGCTGAACAAATTGTATCCGTGTAAGACTCGAGTATGCAGTCAGTTTTTAACAGGATCACGATTGCTAAGCTGTAGTTGCATCAAATGGAACACAATAAACACTTAAATATTATTTTGAGTGGCTTGTTACTTACTGCTCGTTTCTTACAGTTCACACTTGATTTCATTCCAACTGTAACCTGATTATGAGGAACTGTTGAAGGATAAAAGTAATGGGATTCTGGGATTAGACCTTAAACTCTACTGGTCAACACATAGAGGACCATCTGTATAGAGTATCCTTCTATTATATATCGCCCATATGGCCTTTAAAGCTTCTGCACATTGTGATGAAAGTAGAGAAACTGTGAGTCATGGTAGCCGTTTGATAAACATTACATCCCATTTTAGGAGCTTCCTGTTGGCTCTCCCGGTTATCTTCCTCCTCGCATTTCGTGTCAATTTTACTGTCATCTGTAAACAAAGGCAAATCTGTGGGAAAAATATTTCGCATATAAGGGGAACATGATCAGCAATATCTTGATAGCACTTTAGCAGGACAGGAAGAGGTCTTTCTGCTTCCTTTTTTTCTGACATTATCCTGATACAAACAGAAGTCTTTCTGCTGGACTGTGAGGCGACAGCAGGGGGCGGCTGTAACCAGCTGTACGCCACCGGAACTTTGAATTCAATTTTATGTGCTAGTGAAGAAATGTGAAAGAAAATATGATAGAAGTCACCATAAGCAGCAACGACACATCCGGTATGTATGTCGTTTTAGTTTCAAAGCAAAAGCACTGTATCGCTCGAAAGAAAAAAACGTGACGGTCAAAGGTTTCCTGCATGAACAATAAAGTAGCAAAATATAAAATAATATATGGCGTTGGTTATTGTTCCCATTT